TGGATGAATGGTACAGATGGCAGAGAGGACAGCTTCTCTCGGGGCAGCCTGTCCCCTGGGAAGGGGCCGCTGCTCTTCAGCTCCTGTGTCCACCTCCAAATCCCTACCTGTCCCAATTCCATCTACTACCTGGACAAGCCGCTCTTCATCCCCATTGATGGCCCTCCAGCCCCCAGCCCCCAAGTGCACAGGTCCTCCCTGTCCCTCCACCTGAGCTGCAGTTCCCACCGGCCGGCGCTAGAGGGAGTCGGCGGCCTGGCTACAGGCGAGCCAATGAGCAGTGGCCTCCGGCCCATGGCCACCAAGGACAAGCCAGCCCTGCGAGGACACTGCTGGCCCCCGGGGCTGGGGGACAGCTGCGGAGTGGAGGAGACCCGGGCCCAGCTGGCCAGCAGCGCATGCCCTTGGGGCAGCTTGCCCGCCTTCGGAAATCCAGAGCTCTCAGGCATGGGGATGTGCCCCGACTCTGGCAGAGACCGGGAAGACCACTTCAGGCCCCATTACCACGCTGGCAGCCACCCCAGCCAGCTGACCATCCACATCCCTGGCTGGAGCTACACGGCAGGTGAGTACCACTGGCCGCAGGAGTGGGCACAGGTGTCCGGAGCGTGGGGCGTCCTTATCCACGTTGCTGTCAGGACGGCTGCCCGGGTCAGCTCTGCGTTGTCTGCTGTAGACCGGCCTTCTTAGAGGGTGATTTGTGATTTTGTAGCTCATGAGAGACCTCCCCTCAGGCTGTGTGTCCAATAGTCGCCAAACTATGTAAAGAGTGTGGAAGTCGAGACCCCAATGGGGTTTGCTTAGAGCAGTGTTTTCCAAAATGAGCAATACCATGCCCTGGGGGCAATGGAAAGATCCAGGAGGCTGCCAACAGATTCCTACACTTTAGCCTGGGTGGTAGGTGGTCATATCAGCGTTTTGTTTTTAATTACCAGGGGGAGCTGAGTAATTTCTTTCTGAGCATGGCGTGCTCAGTTGGGCCCTAAGACAGTGCCTTCTTGCTTCATTCTGGGGCAGGGTAAGGTCACAGTGCCACCCACCCTCGAAGAAGTTTGGCCACTCTGTGGCCAGGGTCCACATTGCTTCCTTTAATGTTTCAATCAGATCGCCAGTGCATATAGAGCAGCCCTGGAAGCCAGGGTCACAAGTGTCCGTGGTGGAGTGGGAGAGTGTGTGGGTTATAGTGTCAGCTGTGTCTGTGTGCATACTGTGTGTGTTATAGCGTCAGCTGTGTGTCTGTGCATAGTGTGTGTGATAGCATCAGCTGTGTGTGTCTGTGTGCATAGTGTGTGTGATAGAGTTAGCCGTGTATCTGTGTGATAGAATCAGCCATGTGCTTGTGTTATAACCATCTATGCGTGTGTTATAGTCTCAGCTACGTGTATGCGTGTCTGTGTGTGAGGGTATGCGTTATAGAATTAGCCGGTCTGGGTGGCCCAAGAGGTTTCCAAGGCATAACTAACCTGTGAGGAGCCCTGGTGGTGCAGCATGAGAACACCTGACTGCTAACAGAAAGCTACGTGGTTCTCACCCAACAGCTGCTTCCATCGAGGTGTCGGACTGGGAAGTCCGCTCTGCCCTGTAGAGTTGGTGCCAACCCAAAACGGGCAGTGTGAGCCTGCCTGCAGTGCCACATGAGTAAGGACAGGTATCTGCTTCTGCAGAGATCCCGGCCGAGAAAACCCTGTGGGGCAGCTCTGCTCTGGAAACCCGTGGGCTTGCCAGCAGTGGGGTGGACTTGACGACAGTGGATGATAGGCAGGTAGGTAGATGGGTAGGTAGTAGATAGGTAGGCAGGTAGGCAGGTGGCTAACTCTATAAAGTCTCAAAACCAAACTCACTACCGCCGAGTCCATTGTGACTCCCAGGAACGCCATCAAGCAGAGCAGCCCCGTGGGGTTTTAGGCTGTAAACCTTTGTGGAGCAGAAGCCTCATCTCCCTACCTCAGAGCGGCTGGTGTGTTAGAACTGCGAACCTTGCCATTAGCAGCCCAAGGTGACCCATTAGGACTCGAAGACTCCTTCCACCCCTGAGTGAGGACATCCTCTCACATGCACAGCTCCTAACTGAGAAGTTGGAGGCACTAGAGCCCCCTGGAGGAAAGTCCTGGTGAGGGA